CCGCCACAAAAATGCTGCACGAACTACTCTCCACACCGCGAAAAACCCCTCTACCGCGTAGTGTTACACCACGCAACTTGTCGCCCTTAGAGCGGCTACCGGAAAACTACCAGCAAGAGCATCAACGCACAAAGTACCACTATCGCAGCCAACAACAATTACACTATACGCCTGGTGATCGACGCTTAGATCGCACTACGCAAAGTCTACATTACGAGTCGGTGAAAACGCCAGGCGACCGAACCATGGCGGTGATTACGCCACGCATAACACCACACCAGCAATCAAAGGCGTACCCGGAGGTGGAGGAGGAGGAGGATTGCAGCAGCATCCATGGCAAATCCACCAACAGCACCACACCCTACCCGCAGAAGGTGGCCAATGCGGCGATCACCTTGGCCGTCGTGTCGCTGATGCTTGTGATCAGCAGCAGTATGAATACGGCGCTTATTATCTACATGATTGCGCATGTAAGGCTTGCTGAGACCGCCGCAGTCTATGTAATTTGTGTCAATAATCAATACCGCTTGTCTTACTTTTCAGTTTGGAAAATCATTTTACCTGCAGTTTAGCTTGGTTGCCGCATTCAGTGGCGTGGGGCTTGGTTTCCTCGGTTTCCGTTCGCGCCATTGTGAATGGTTGCCAAATCGCAGCTACACCTCTGGTTATATTCTCGTAACGGTATTCTGCCTGCTCAAATGCTGTGGCTTAGTAGTGATCCTAGTGCTAGATCCTTACCCTGGGTTGCCACTACACGATGTAACTACAGGCATTATACTGGGTCTATCTACATTCACGATTTTCTTTATCGGCCTGGGTGTGGTTGGATCACTTTGGTGCTATAGACCGCCACCAGATAATAGAGTTAATGTTGCTTAAATAATGCATAGAAAATTGTTCAAACAATTATACATTTGATTTAGTTTTTAATAACAATTTTTTTCGATGTATGTATGTGTGTACTATATGAACTTTTCACCGAAGTTGCATGAACACAGATAACTATGTATGCTTGTACGTTCATTATCCTGAGATACGGAACAAAAGTTTTTAAATGCTCACCATTGTTTGAAAGCTTCCTTGGAGAGGATTCCAGCGTCATAAAAATTTCCCGAAATCGATGAAAGGGACTTTTGTTCATAACTTTGTTTATTTTTAACGCGATATTAAAAAGTTGTGTATCGGCTAAAAGACATTTTTAAGAGCCACTTATGCAAATTTAGCTTTAATATACCATTGGCCTTAATTACCTCTTTCAAACAGTAAACTCAACTATATCAATTTTTAACCGTCTAAATTCAATTTTGGTTAGAATAAAATTATAAAACTTTTATGGGTGATTTTTTCCCATGATCCTCTAAATTTAAGACCTAAACACTTTTTCAATAACCATGAAATTTGTTCACGAATAAAAAAAGAAAAAGGGGAAAGCTAGATTTCAGCATTTCCCAGAACGAAAATTTCAAAGATGCTAAAATCCTCTCAAAGTAATCTTTGAAACTAGGTGGGGCATATGAACATTTTTCTGTAGTTCAGCACCGGGGCGATCTAATGTATTATTTATTTAGCTGTAAGTTATATGTACGTAATATTCATAGTTTACTTATAAAATTTAGCTACTTATACTAGTGCGAGTATTGGATTCTTAAATGTAATTCGAAAATAATATTCACGGCTAAAATACCAAAAAATAAGTAGGACAAGTGAATATCACTTTACACTGTTCGAAAAAAGACTGTAAATAAAAAATTTTCGAAATAGAAAAAGAGGCACACACACAATCCAGTTTTTAGAGATTAAAAGGACATACATATGTAAATACCTATGTGTAGTTACCTAAATAATTTTGTATATGTATGGTTCTACTGTTATATGGTTGTAATTAGTTATAAACAAAGCTGTTAAAGTCAAGGGACATTTTGACTAGTTTTGGATATTTTTCTTTTGTTTATTTAATGTTTATATTTTCTAGTTTAGCACTTTACATAACCAGCGCCACATTTCAAACTTCGTACAAAAATTATGAAAATACAACAAGCTTTAACATTTGCATCCGAAAATTTTCAACTTTTTATTCAGAACAACTATATAAAATATGCTCGACAAAATCGTTTGTATCGGAGAAAAAGCCTAGCATCATCAGCAAAAAAAATTATTAAAATTCTCCGCGAATCTTGAAATTTGTACTTTAACCCAAAATTCTAAATAAGAAGTTTGAAATTTTCAGGTGCAAATACAGTCTTGTGAAAAATAATAGGGACACGAAATTGTTACCAGTTTTGGCTATTTTTCGTTTGTTTTTTTTTTAATTTTTATTATCTTTTTTATAACAAATACAGCTCACTATCTAACAAACACCATATAGTGCAAATTTTTTTGCGGAAAAAAATCATCAAAAATCAACACGATTTCTTACCCACTTTGAACTTGCACTTTCTTAAGCTGGAATTAAATGGGCTATACAACTGCACACCTAGATTTAAAGTTTGTTGTTGTTGTAAAATTTTGTTTAACTTATCTAATTTTTCTTTGTTTTGAAGTTTGGATTTATACGGGGTTTGTTAGGTAACGAATTGCATTTTTAAAAAATAATAAACATTAAACAACCAAAAGAAGAATAGCCAAAACTTGTGAGAATATCGTGTCCCTATTATTTTTCACATGACTATATGTATGTTTGTTAGTATGTACTTAGGATGGTCGATTAATCGAACAAGCTAATATGCTGATTAATCGAAGCCTGATTATTTAATTAAATTATCAATTCAAAATAAATCAAAGTAACTAATTTCTCGATTAAATACATTTTGATTAATCGGAATTGAAATAATTTTGTTTATCAGAAAACTGATTAACCACACGTCCCTGGTATGAACTATGTACATATCAATTGTTGATGTCACAGAAATAAGTTAATAATACATATTACAAGTAATAAGTATGCAAAAAACACGGCCGACTTCAGTGCTCATATACTATAAAAGTTATTCGGTAACATATAAAAAACACGGCCGACTTCAGTGCTCATATACTATAAAAGTTATTCGGTAACATATAAAAAATGAAAAATATTCCGTCGAGTTGGAAACCTTCTATTATTTTGAAGTCAGTCAAAAAACCAGGGATGTGAACCGGTTTCGAGCCAAACCGGATTACCGTTTTTTTTGTAATAATTAACTGAACCCTTAAACGAACCGGAATTTTTCACAAATGCTTAATCCAAACCGAAAATCGAACCATTTTTTAAAAAGAATTAATGTTCGTTTCGGGCAATTTTCCCTCCACTTTCTTATCTATTTTTCATTAAATATCGTAATACCATATGTGTTTACCATCTGACTTTTTTTCCACGTATAACGTATGATATAAATCTGTCCGGTTTTATACATATATACAATGGTCGAAAAAATTATAACATCACCACATTTTGAAAAGTTTTAAAATATAATATTTTTTTGGTATATAATTTAGTTTTTTTTTTTATATAAAAATACAATTCATTCTTTAGCAAAAACCGTGTAAATATTAAAAAAAAAATTAAGCAAAATTTCGTAAAAATTGCGAGCTTTTTAATTAGATTTCTAAAAAAAAAATCTAAAAAATCAAAGCTAATTTTAGGTAATTTGAAACTTGTCCTTCATAATACTACTACTAGAATTCAATCGGCCGCAAAACTGCATATAAAATATTTCTATGAAATCTAATTAATAGGCTCGAAATTTTTACGAAGGAGTCTTGGTTTTTTTTTTGGCACAAAATTGGAAACTTGCAGCTACACGCTTTGTTTTCAGAATGAACTACATTTAAAAAAAAAAATAACCAAACTAAATAACAAAATATGTTAAAACTTGTTAAAATGTTCGCGGCTATAATTTTTTCGACCACTGTATGTATTTCTTTTTGGATTTTTACCGAATAAATTAACACAAATATACATATTTTTTTTTTTGTAATTCCCGAACTATTAAACCGAACCAAAACCCCGGTTCAAAAACCAAAAAAAAAACAAAAATCTTTTTAACGAACCAATTCAAAGGAAGTAACCGGCTCGAAGCAAATTTTCACCCGGTTCACGTTCCTGTTGAAAACTATTTGATAGCTTATGTATAAGTGCACAATTTAGCTATTCATAAGGTATACTTATCGCAGCTTTTGTTCAATCTTAGAAGACTTGAAGTTAGTAATAAAGTTATGGGTTTAAATATACAAATGTACATATGTAAGATACTTTTATTGTTTGTCAATATAATACAATGCGAATAAAGGTTTTTGAAGTCAAATGAATTTTAGTCACGAATAATTTCCAGAGCTTTGGTTTCAATTCTGTTGTTATATTTTTGTGTGGATATACGGATTTCTCTGCAATTTATTCACTTGTATTCACAGAATAAGGACAAATTGGCAGAGTTTTTAAACACTTTTGTGATTTTAACCCATATAGTGTCGGCCAACAGACAAAGTCGAAATAAAAATTTCGTTACGTGAAAAGCCTTAAACGGAAATTTTGGGTCCATTTTGTGTACTCGAAATTCCATTTCAACCCCCACTCTCTGGACTTAGGTCAGAAGAACGCCTTTTTGATGTACATAAATTAAAAAAAAAAATTAACGGCAGTTTTTATAAATTAAACTTCTTATATAAAATACCGCTGTTTAAAACTTGCACTCATTTTACTAAAATTTCGTTAGGCATGCAACTGCATATCCTAGAATTTAGATTAAAAAGTTCAAAGTTTTTATGGAAATATGTTGCATTTTTCTAAAATTTGTATTAAGCTGTTATTTATTTGGAAAAATCACCGTTCACTCAGTTTCGGTTTAAGTCTAGGACCCTCTCTCTAAATTAATACGCTAAACCATGTAGTACGTATCATATTTATATGTAAGTAAGCTTAAGAAATAGCGGTTTCATCGATGCGGTCTACCCCGCCAGAGTTATATTGGCCACTGAAGCCTTGTGGTTAGATGCATACTACCACCCTGCAGGACCTATAATCGATCCCTTGTTCAAGCATCAACTCAAATATAAAAAAAAAAAAAACTTTCTAACACAGGTCGTCCATGGTTTTCCGAAAACCATCGGGCGCTCGGTAACGACGTAAAAGTTTAGCCCTCTCCACTTGTGTTACGAAATTTATCACGACGCACACCACAAACTGGAGGGCCGCTCGACCAACCACGTAGCCAAAATATGAAAGCCAAACGTTTTTTCCCCTTGTGCTAATGCATCAGAGCTAGCAATGAGATTTCCATAGTAATAGCTAGAACTATTTTCATGGATCTAAACTTAAGTTTCTAAAGCGTCGCTTGCGTTTTTTTGCATTTTACTGTATTCTGTGCATCTTTTTAGTCAGTTCTGGGCTAAACAATTTCGGGAGATTCCATGCATGGGCCTTATGCATACATACATATTTCCTTCTGCAATGCACATGGGTCTGTTTTATGCTCATTTATCGCAAAGCTCGATTGAGTCCCCAACACCGCCATGTCTTCTGCGTACGAAACTACTTTTGCAGTCTATCTTTCAAATTTCTTAAGTAATTTATTTAGCTACAAGTACCAAAGAAGGGGATCAGGCCCCTTGTGATGTATGTACATAAATACATACTTTCCTTGTTAGCTGGGCCTAGGGATGGCAGCAATTAATCAATCATTTGATTAAATTAATCGATTATCAATCGATGAATTGTAAAATAATCGTAAAAACATTTTCAAGAAATATAAATTCTCTAGTTATCTAAAATTCAGCCAATTTTTTGCAATACCTAGCTGGGCCTTATTCTACTACATTCTTATTTTCTTGCAGCCTTGTAAGTTTGGCTGATTGCAAAAATAACATATTAAACTTTTCGCAAATTTTTTCTTCAATTTCAAATTGCATCTGTTTATGACGCTAAGGGCCAGTTTTTCAGTGCCAGTTTAAACTTAGATTAAGTAAACTGAGTTTAAATTGAACAGCTGGCTGACATTTGATTGGCTGATCTTAGTTTAAACCAACCAGATCGGACCTTTACACTGAGTTTAAACTACAGCCGTGCACTGAAAAACTGGCCCTAAGTCTAAATTTTCTGCACATATGTATGTAATGCTTTTTGTTGTTATGTATGTGTCTTCTCCGTGTTTACATATATGAATATAGATACGTATGTATTTCTTTCTTTCTTTACAGTAAGCTGGGTGAATACCAAAGAGAACACGAGGACGCAGCCGCGGATATGTCCGCCTACGTCTCAAATCCAATAAACGCTTACCTGCTGACAAAACGACTGACCACCGACTGGCGACAAGTGGAGAATTTAATGGCGCACGATGTAGGCGTCGGTAGGTTTTATCTAATGCATACATAAATATGTACACTCATGCTTTGATTACATAATCTCTTTTCGTTTTTCGCAACCCCGTTTTCCTGTTCTAGAGTTTCTGAACAACATCACGAATTACCGCCACATACTGAAATTCCCATCCGATGAAGATTTGAATGGAGCTGCAGTAGCGTTGATGCGGCTGCAGGACACCTACAAACTGGACACATCGAGTGTGGCGCGTGGCATGCTTAATGGCATACAATACAGGTAACGATAATTATCATGAAAGAGACATGTGTAAGTAGGAAGTTGAAGTAGAAAATTTCGAAGTAATCGGTGATCGCAAAGTTTTATCTGCTTATTTGTGATTTGCGCAATAGATCTGAATGATTCCCATTGAAGTTCCTTGCAATTGATAATATTTATTCTACACAAGTTCTCCTAATTTCCCCAGACAATGAAAATCCTTTTGTTTACGTTAGGAGACTCTGGTTACATCACATTTGTTTTTCTGTTTTCCAGCACGGCAATGTCTTCAGATGACTGCTTTGAGTTGGGACGCCAATCGTACGTCAATCATGACTACTATCACACCGTACTCTGGATGAGTGAGGCAATGACTCGACTCCAAGAGGAACCTCAGAATCAAACTCAAACCTTTACGCGGGCCGATATTTTGGAATACCTCGCATTTTCCACATATAAACAAGGTAATCAAGAAATCAAGGCGAATTTATACGAGGTGGTAGCGGCTGCCCAAAAACAAAAACTACACTAACAAACAGTACAAAACGAAATTAAAACGAACACATACATATTTTGACAAACACTAAAAGTTCGCCTTGAAATCAGCAGCTCCGGTAACACCACCTTTTACGAATTCGCCTTGTAAGAAATTTTACAACTTTAAAATTAACTGTCAAAGGATGTCTAAAGTAATGATGGTACTCACTGTTTCAGGCATTTAAGGTGCAAAGTAGTTATGTAGCAATCTAGCATACGTTTTGTTGTTGGAAAATTAACACCTAATAACACCTTAATAAAAGGCCACAAAGAATGATCGCACGCAGAAAAGCCTGAAAGTATGCAATTTTATGTTCTAGCGGCACAGGGTGTAAATAATGAACAAATTCAAATCACAACTCTTCAATTGAAATTTGATTTGGGCACATTATAATATGTACCTACATATGTAGTATGTATCAGCAAATGCTATATAAAACATATGTCCGTATTTCTTTCTTAAGTATAGTTTTTTTTTGTAAAAACATCGCTCTCATGACAAGTAGGATTAACAACCCTGACGGAAGAAAGTGGGTTTTTTAAGTCAACAAATTTTAGAACGACTTTGAAACAAATACATTGAGTAAATGTCTTAAAATTCGATGCTATTTTTACCCAAAGAAACCATTTGTATCCTGCAAATATGCAAAAAGCAAATCTGTGAAGTGCAGAACGAAAGCGTATTCAAACGAAACATACTGACTTTGAAGTTCGTTAAGCCAAATGCATTTTAAAGTCGGATAATTGACTGCTTCCTAGGACATCGCCATGTTAAATAAGTCAGTTCATTGAAGGGGAAAAAGTGGGAATTTCAATTAAAGTAATTTAATTTCCTTCACGGATTTATATATTCAAATCTTAACTGCTTATATATGCGATAAAATTAATGAACTAGAATAAGCCTTTCGATACCCTTTTACTTAATCGTGTTCATCTTACATAAGTGCTATATTTCTCCTTGTTTTTCAATACGGGGTAGACTTGAGTTATACTTATTTAAGTATAAAAAGTAACCCAATAAACATAACGAATTCGGCGCGAATTCGAGACGAGCTCGTTTTCTCTGATAGAACTATCGAGACGAATCGAATTCGAATCGAGTATTGCTAGTTTTTCGAATCATTAACGGAAATGCAATAACAACAAATGATGTTTCTAAGGACATCAGAAAATGTGAAGTGAATAATTTAACATTGATTAGCATTTCTGTAACTAAATACCCATTTCCAGAAATAACCAAGGTTGTACAAATCACTTTAAGCACAGATATTTACTTTGTTCCGATTAGAGGTGGCAGATATTTGCGTACCCGTGACTTTGTCACGGTTACTCCAAAAGTCACTGGTAACTGCTGTGACAACTTCCAAAAAATCACCGTGACAGACTGTGAAAAAGTAACAGTCGCAATGATGTTTTAGTAGTCGGATTGCGCCTTCCACAAGAACAGTAACAGTCACAGTTGCTGCTACGAACTGTGACTGTGATAAAGTAGCACTCTCAATTACATATCGAGAAACTGCGAGCTTAACCTTTATTATTCTTGAGCAAATGCAGTATATACTCGTACATATGTATATAGTTGGGTATATCCTCGGTACGGAGGATGTGTTGCCCGAGGCGGTTGCAAGAGTTCCAAGTCAGCTAGGCTCTAAATAAACTTAAGACATACGGTTCATCACCAGCTCCTTGCTCTGGGATAGAAATTTCACGGCGGAATAAGGTTATGCTTACGCCCAACGTAGAGTGAGTAAGGATCTCATGTCGATTTACCTGAACTTAGTAACAAGTTGTTCTGCGGTTTGTGAAATAGCTATTAACCCTGGTAAGACCGAGCTCATTTTATTCGTCAGGACTTATAATGTGTATAATATTTAGAAGCGAGTAAAAACAAGGTGGCCTATTTGGCGTTTACAGTGCCATTGGTAAAAGATGCAGCCTCCAAATCTAAAACACATGTAGCTATGTAGAGACCATTATAGGAATAATTGATTGTTATATTAGTGCTTAGACGAGCTCCACCTCCGATTTTGCGGCTGTTTCCGGAAGAGGTTGCCGATACAGAAAAGTAGACGACTAGACATTTACTAGAAAAATACCGTCGAGAAGAATAAATATTTAAACAGATAGCCAAGATGAGAGTGATTGCCCGGTAAGGGAATGCTTGACCTCTCTCGTGCGGTCGCCTCGAAATACTTACCAATTAGGTTGATTTTGGTCCCAGGGCATAGCAACATTTCAGTTAACTGAAAGACTGTGGAATTTGCTTACATGGCATCTTCGAGTTTATTTTTCCTGGCAGAAAGGATATAGGAGTTCAAGTGGTACTCATGTCTTTGGGAAAACCCTAAGACATTCACAACTGCAAGGACCTTCCAAGAGCTGATGAACCGTAGGCGGCCAAAATAGCTTCTTAAACTGACCAGGCATTAAGTCTTCGAGCAGGAGTGCAAAGAATGTAGGGCATATCAGCACTCAGCTGCCCGCTTTTGCTAAGCTAAATCCGAGGGAAATCTCTGCCTTCGGAACTTCATCTTGGGCACGCAGCGCTGCCACCTACCCCAGCCCTAAGCTAAAACATCCATCCATCAAAAAACTTTAGAACAGGAACTCAAATTAATGTTGTTTTTAATTTATTGCAGGCAACGTGGAAAGAGCGCTTACGATGACTAATGAACTATTAGAACTAACACCCGACCATGAACGCGCCAGAGGCAATAAGGTATTTTACGAAAAGGAGATAGCTGAACTCCAAGCTGAACGCAAAGTCAAAGGTGACGATGGTAGCGAGAGTACACCTGTCTCTGATTTGGTAAGTCTACGATGCCTAATTTGGCAGCAGTCGGAATTCACTAACAATTCACTCTGCTTGATTGCAGCCGATTGCCAAGGGTGATCCCAGTGATTATACCTTTAGCGAACGCAAAGCATACGAAATGCTTTGTCGTGGTGAATTGAAGCTGACCCCAGCGGATTTGCGACCACTCCGATGCCGTTATGTTAACAATAATGTGCCCTTCCTGCGCTTGGCGCCACTCAAACTCGAAGAAGCCTTTTTGGACCCTTATATTGTGATCTACTATGACGTCATGCATGACAAAGAAATTGAATTGGTTAAGAAACTGGCGCGTCCTCGATTCCGTCGCGCTACCGTCCAGAATGCGGTTACCGGCGAATTGGAAACCGCTAATTACCGTATCAGCAAATCGGCATGGATACGCACAGAGGAGCATAAGATCATTGAAAACATTGTACAACGAACAGAGGATATGACGGGTTTAGACATGAGTGTGGCGGAGGAATTACAGGTGGTGAATTATGGCATTGGAGGCCACTATGAGCCGCATTTTGATTTCGCAAGAGTGAGTTGAAGACAGAATTATTCATGCAAACAATGAAATTATTTTAGCGCCAGGGAGTATACATTGAGTTTTTAACATTGTATCTCGTTCCTTACAGAGGGATGAGATTCGTGCCTTCCAAGGGCTCAACACTGGCAATCGTATCGCAACGGTGTTGTTCTACGTAAGTCTACTTTGACGCCGCTTATAGGCAAAATATCTCAGTACAATTATAGCCGTGTTTACGGTGTGAAATATCTTTTTGTTTACCTCGTAGATGAGTGACGTGGAACAAGGTGGTGCCACAGTCTTTACAAACTTACGCATTGCTTTGTCGCCCAAAAAAGGATCAGCGGCCTTCTGGTACAACCTGCACAGGTCCGGTGAAGGTGATTTCAGAACGCGTCATGCGGCCTGCCCTGTTCTAACTGGCTCTAAGTGGGGTAAGAATACATACAAACAAACATATGTGCATACATACATGTATATGTTTAAGTATGTATATTTCTGTACATACGTTCATACTCACATACATCGGTAATATATCTTTAATAATAAATACTTACTTATCTCTTTCAGTCTCGAACAAATGGATACATGAACGCCAACAAGAATTTCGTCGACCTTGTGGTCTGGAACCTGACCACGGCGAATTTGCAATTTAAGTCCATTTAAAGAAAAACCAGCAAGCGGAAGTATGCGTACGAGTATTTAAAACTTGATAAGCATTCAAAGTTGTTACCTAAGAGTTCTAACTTTTTGAAGTCGTACGAAGCTTTGTGTTTATATTTGACCGTTTACATGTCGGCCATAACTTTGTATTTTCTACATTGTTACTGCTAGAGCATTCAAATTGAAACTGTTATCGGCAACTGTTTGCACATTTAGAAACGCTATGAAAAAATCGACTCAGAAATTCGGTATGCCATTTTGTAAATGTCGCGTTTTTTCTAAAATTAGTGAAATTCAATTTTATAATTGTTAAGCTCTTTTTTATGCCACTTACATAAGTACATATGTATATTTGTACTATTCTGTTTGTACATGCGTAGATATACATACATATACATATATGGATATGTATGTATTTATTTATCTTATAAAGGTTTTTTAATATAAAAAAAAAAAAGTTAAATTAAAAACGAGTTTTGCAATATATTTATATGTATACATGAATTTTTACTATTTTTGATTTTAGGGGAGGTGAAAAGGTGAGTGCAACCTTTGTTTAAAAATATGCGTATTCTTTTTGCGCTTTATTTATTTTTTCGGAAAAACGTTAAACGTCGAAGGTATAGAATAAAGGTAATGCCGCATTATACTAAAGCCAGCTTCCCGACATAAGCTACCCAACAAGCATTTCAGTAAACGTTTTTAAAACTAACTTAAATTAAGTTTGCTATAATAAGCGTTAAATAAGCATTTTTAATATTAAGCTTATTAAAAGTTTTTTCAAATAAACCTTTAATAAGTTTTGAGAGCGAATGTTTATAAATAACTTAAACTTATAAATGAAATGTAAATGCCAACGACATGAAGTAGTAAATATAAAATTTTTTCAATCGTAAGTGACGTGTTTACGTTTTTTAAAATATATTATTAAAAGAAAAAATTAAATAAAACCAATGCGGTAAAACAAGAAAATCCAATCCAGGACCCGCTGCGCTAATCGGTGGAGCATTCGAGTCTTCAAATGATGAGTTCCCCTTATCCTTTCTTAGTTTAACATTCAATTAAAAATGTATTAAATTTTTTTCAGAAAAGTTCATCAATGAGAATGGCGGCGATAAAGCGCAATATATAGCTGCATCGATGTCCCTTTTCCAATTTGCCAATAACCGCAAGTAATTGAAAGCACGCAAGAATATGTAATANACTGTAGATGAGTCCGCGGAAAATTCGCATTTCGTTTAGTTTCTAGATGTTAAGCAATCTATGTATGAGGTTTTAATGAAATATCTTTAAATAAAGGGTTATAAAAATGTTTATAAAAAGCTTTCTTTTGAAAATTTTTAGTAAGTTTATATTGATACGCTTATATAAAACTTTTTTTGAACCTTTATTATAAGTTTACACTTTTACGCTTATAAAAAGCTTTCTTTTGAACATTTATTACAAGTTTATATTTCTACGCTTATAACCAATGTTCCTTTTCGATTATATTACGCTTACTTTCAAGCGTTTTATAAACAAAAAATCAACGTTTTGTAAGCTTAATGTTTATAATTGAAAACTTAAAAAAAACTTTCTTTAAGTTTATTTCGCTTGTTGGGTACGAATACAGATATGTATGTATGTATGTATGTATGTATGCACATGTGTACAGTGTTGCCAAACATGGGCTTTTCATACCAAAACTGGTAGGTTTTTTTCCATTTAGTAGGTTGGTAGGCTTGATTGGATTTTGGTAGGTTTTAGGACAATGAGTAATTGTTATTTGCGAAAAATAGAAAATATGTACGTACATATCTCCATATAGCAAACTTTTTTACACAAATATTTCACCGGTGCGTTCGTATAATGGCGGCCACAAACATGTAAATATACCTGATTCCTAAGTACAAACGTTATTATTGCCAATATGCAATACGGACATCCATATATCGTGACCTAAGGGTGAAAAGGTGCCAAGTCCATTTTTAGAAATTTTTCAGGAGAGACGAAAAATCGATGTAGTTTCGTATTACCTGTCATTCTGCATCAAAAACTAAACTTTGAAAAAAAAATGGACTTGGCACCTTTTCACCTTTAGGTAGCGATATAATTTATGGCGTACTTGGACCAAGATTCCAGAAAAGTCTGCCAATGGGCTCGTACTCAACCATATTTCAGGCGGAAGTCTTCCCAATCGAAGTCTGTGTTCGCGAATGTCATCGTAGAAGGCAAATGAGGCCAGAAAAAATATTATGTCGGACATTCAGGCAGCGTTAAAGGCCTTAGAGTCTTTTAAAATGGCATCAAGGCTTGTAAACTCTTGAACCACCTGCGAGCCCACAATAGCGTCACGCATGAAGGGTTTGAAGGCAACGAAAGGGCTGACTGTCTCGCAAAGCGTGAAGCCCAAATGCGTTTGCATGGTCCCTAGCTTTTCTGTGGTACATCTAAAGGATACACTGCAGACCTACTTAGGAGCTAGCTGGGAATAATCTCAAATTGCTGCCTACTGGCGGAAGTCAAAGGGAATAAGATAATCAAAGATATGCATAACTCTTTCCAGCAGGAGCTCCAAAAGACACCTTGAACTTAGAACTCTTACTGGCTACCTGACAGCACACTGCAAGTTAACGTACGGTTTTAATTAAATGGGTCTTTTTGAAGAGAGAGAGGGTTTGTCGGCTGGTGAAAGAAACCCCAGAGTATATTCAATGTGCCTGCCCACGAAGCATGAATCGTAGATTGATACACCTTGGGGAACGATTGCCTTTTCCATCTAAAATTTGGAACATGGCCTCATCCAAAGTGCTGAGCTTTTTAATAGCACAATATATTTTCTTAGGTCGCAGCGCGGGTATCTTCGACGTCATAATAATAATATTGTCACTAGATACGAATAAAGAGCTCGGAAAAACTCTTTGGGGAGTTCTGGGGAATACTGTTGCACTCGAAAATATAGTTGACCGCGGGTCTATCTTCGCTGTCAAAGAGGTTAACGCGGCTTTATTTGCCGTCACCTATGTTAAGAGTCTTTCTTCGCCGAAAGTTTTTTACGCCTCTTTTTTCGCTATCAACTTTTGAGCTCGCGTCTTTATTCGTATCTAGTGACATATCATGTATGTGTAAAGAGACATATGTGCCCATGGATAAGTCTGTACAGTAAAATTAATCGTTATACGCAGTTAATTTGTTTTTATTAATCTAGTTGTGTTTTACTTTTACTAAATGTTATGTTAACTATGTTTTTAAAAAATTTGACATTGAAAACTAATATTAAAACTCAAAAAAATGTTTGGTAGGTTTTGGTTGGTTATGGTAGGAAAGGTTGGTAGGAAAAAAAATTTGTCTGTGGCAACGCTGCATGTGTACATACACCCCGCGACAAAATGATACGATCACTCAGTTTGGGCTACTTATTTTTTATTCTATTTTTCAAACTAATTTGAATTATTTGTTTATACAAGTAATTTTTCCTTAAAAAACAAAAGAATTATAGAAATTGGTTAACGTAGTCCACAGTGGTGCGGTAACATACATAAAAAAAAAATGTATATGTATATATTCCGACGAATAACTCTCTCCTTTTTGTGAAGTCGGTTACAGTGATGCCAGACATTCTTTGTTAAATTACCCAAGAATATCGGAATAAAAATTCCACAATTACCCACATCTTAAAATTGTATGTATTCAAAACATATAAATATTTCAGAATTAAAGAAGTAACATTCATGCTACCTTAATATGCATATATGTACATACAATATTTTTTCGAAATTCGATCTATAGATTGTGCACTAAACGCCTAAAAGAATTTAAAAACATTAATAAATTAGCTTCAATGTTTATCAAAAGCCAAGATTTTGAAGAATCTTTTTTTTTTTGTTTTTTATTTTTTGAATACTTACTGGCAATTCATAAAATGATCACCGTTACAAATTTTTTGCATAGTGTATGCGAATATGGTTTCTGTGACTTAAACGTTGAAGCACTTGACATTTTATTATGTGAAAAATAACACTGGTGATGCGGTATAATGACCAGTTCTGGCTACATTTCTTTTGTTTTTTAATGTTCTAGTTCATTATATAATAAACTGAATCACCATTTCAAGCTTTGTACAAAAATTCTATAAATTCAAGCAAAATTTCACCTTAATTTCAATCTTTTATTCAGAATTTTGAGAAATTTTACGTATGCTGTTGTTGAGCCTGCTAAATTTTAGTAGGATAAAGTGCAAGTTTCAAGCGTACAAAATTCCGTTAATTTTTTCCAATTTTTTTTAGCTGACGGTGTTGTGCATTTTCTTCCACATAAAGTATGCTCCATGATTTAGGTGAAAATTGGTTGAATTTTCATAATTTTTGTACAAAGTTCAAAATGCGGATCTATACGCAGTTTATTATATAATGAGCTAGACTTTTATAAAAAAAAAATATATTATATTAAACATTAAAGAATTTAAGAAATGTTGCCAAAACTGTTAAAAAAGGTGTTTCTATTATTTCTGCCAACTGTGTAGCTGTTAATTTTTTATGTTTCTTAGAAGTCGGCGAACGACTCTATGCAAATATTAATTCGAAAATATACGAAAGAGTTATAAAATAATCTAATCATTTTTTCTTCCCAATTAGACGCAAGCGAACGCATGTGTGCAACTGTGGCATACTCTTTAAAGAAAAACATTACTCCATTTGTATATATGTACCCTACATCTATCTCAGTTGATCATACTTATATATGTATGTAAGTAGGTATGTACATTAGACTACAGAACCAAAAAAAGTTGCGGGTTTTCCGCCGGGATTACAAAATCTAATATACATACATATATATTCAATAGAATGGTATTTTGCCACTCTTTTAATTTCTTTGCAAAAAAAAACTCACTCACGTCCCTTTTTTCCAATACCAACACATCTTAATTCATCTTGGAATGACGCTCGTTCATCCTACCTTTCTCTTTTATCCCTTGAATGAGTTTTTTTATCAAAAAAAAAAAGATACCTCACAAGTCTAAATGGGAATAGTTTAGGTTCAGTTATTCAGGTTTTTGTTATATCCATCTTTGGAAAAAGTTAAAAACAGCATTTTTTATTCAAATTTTTTAACCTTAAACCTTTTTGTCATTTGAGGGTTTTTGTAATCTTTAAGAAACTATTTTTATTCATAAAAACTCCATTTTGGAGGTATTTTCAAATCGGTCCAGCTCAAATATAATATATTTTATAATTCCAATGGAAACACAGTGAAAGGTCTAATTCAATTAACTAATACAAGAAGTAAATGAAATAAAAAAATGCCACAGTCAAACAAAATAATATTAAGAAATCTTTAGTTTGAACGTTTTGAATGTTTGAAGAGGGTTGCCACGTGTTTAAAAAGTTATATTCAAAATATTTAATAAGTTGTATGTATTAATAAAAAATGGCTATCGATCGTAATGGGTTTGAAAAGTCTTTATTTCTAACCTTTATTTAGGAGGGTTGCGCTGTATTCGAATAACACTGGTCTACAAGGGTTTTGCGAATAAGACGGGACCTAGTGTTTCCGAACGGATTTTTCGTGCTGAACACGAATCTGGGGTCCAAAACTTCCCATCACGTCACGTTTTCGAGAAAAAAGGGGTTGAAACCCCTAAAAACAGCGTTTTTGGCCATTTTTGAAAAATTGTAGAGCTGAACCCTGACGTGCTACAAACTTTGTATATGTCAGAAATTAAAGGCTAAATCGTGCCCTTTCGAATGAGCCCTATGCCGAATTAATCGCATGCACCCTTAGATCAGGGGGTGTATTTGTGTCTAGGAGTCCAATTTTTATATCCACCATATTCGACCCGTCATCTTAAATTTTTAAAATCTAACTGCAGATTCGTAATCAGCGACTTTTAATATAGTTAAAACCTTGGCATTATTAATTTTCTATGATCGTTTAAGATTAAATTCTTTCTGTGATCAATTTTTCCTGCACCCCTAAACACAAATACACCCCCTGCTTTAAGGGTGCACGCGATCAATTCGGCATAGGGCTCATTCGAAAGGGCACGGTTTAGCCTTTAATTTCTGATATATGCAAAATTTGTACCACGTCAGGGTTCAGCTCTATAATTTTTCGAAAATGGCCAAAAACGCTGTTTTTAGGGGTTTCAACCCCTTTTTTCTCGAAAACGTGACGTGATGGGACATTTTTGACCCCGGATTCGTGTTCAGCACGAAAAATCCGTTCAGAAACACCAGGTCCCGTCTTATTCGCAGAAAAAAAGTTGAAATTTGTAGACCAGTGTAATTTAATTCAAATTAGTTCATCAGTTTATTGAAATACATGTGTAGCACAATGTCAAACGAAAGAGATTTTAGAGGATATTAGTTTGAAAATACTTTTGAAAAGGATTTTCAAAAATGAGAGCTAAGGCCTGTAGATGTGTGATAAAGTTTTAGTTATTTTTTAATCAAGAACCTTTTTCATTGGTATAGGGTGTTTCGAAATTTGATAAAATTAAAAACCTGTGCTATGCGAGACTTATCTTCACTCAGAAACGGCTGCGCGGTTTTAGATGAAATATGACACTCAGATCTCTTATAACTCTGGCTAACATTTGGAATGTTAATCAAGTTTGTGAAATTCAATTTTGGGCGTCTTGACAGCATTTGGGTTCACCAGTTATTATTATTTTTAACACCTTACAAACATAAATTTTCCACATCCGCTAAAAATTCTTGGTATTGTGAAGGATGCAATTGTAAATGCTTTTTCAAGCTTGTTTATCTTTTTGACGCTTCACTTTCCAGGGAAAACTCTTTCTGGCACACATTGGAAATCGCAGTTGATTTTTTTCTGTTGAAAAACTTCCAAATAGCGCCCATGTTTCTACAAAATCACAGCAAAACGCAATTGTATCACTTTTATGAATTTTTTAATATATAGAGTTCTTAGGTACATCTTCAAAAGTGTTATGTAGAAATGCGAATCAACAACAAAATTTTAACAACTGTCGTAAAATAATGTAACTTCAAATACAACGCCTTGTGAATTACCTAATTGTTCGGCATTTCCGAAGCCGAGCATAAAAAATCAGCCGAATAGGCCGAATACCGAAGCCAGGCCGAACCTTCGGTCGGACACTACTATTTTGTTTTGTGTGGAGAGTGATGCAGTCTAATGTACATACGTACCCAATGGGAAAATGTAATGTATAGTAGTCGAAATAATAAACAGTAAAACAATCCTTTTCACATTCGAAAATGCATTTTTTTTCCCAGGGCGATGTCTTACGAAAAGTGGGGCATTCAATTTTGCATTACCTAGTATCGAGAAATGAATGTGTTTTAATATGAAATTTTCGGAATTTTTTGAATGCATTAAAATGCTTATTACATAGTTAGCAGTAATATAATCGAGAACTCATAAAAAATACATTATATTATTTTGCACGCATGTAATGCATTTCTACTTTTCCGACTGGGTAGTTGTTTATGTACTTACATAGGTACATATGTACATATGTATGCAAGCGCATGTATGTGTATTTTTTCTCTCATTGTATATACAATATAAACATAATCACATACAAAAATATATGACATATAACCGCCAAAAAGACGTACATATGTACGTAGCATTTTGAAACACCTGCACATAACTGGCGTGTCAACGACTCAGTCGGAGTTATACTTCCCTAATCGACACAACAGTTTGTAAAGAAGGTGGGAGTACTGCATTGTCTTCGCCACTGACAAAGTCTTAGGAATGGCTTCACAATCGCAATATCCTGATGCTACCAGCCTGGTTCTGGAATGTGTCGGCAAAACCTCGTCGATACCTCGGTGCATTCTTATTTTCCTATTTGTCGGCCTATGGACCGTTAGTTGTCAAGCCGAGTACTTCTCCTCGATCGATAGTATTCAATTGCTGGCCGTTGTTGAAAAAGAGTTTATTCAATGGTTTCAACAATTTATTCGAACACAGGCCGAGGACTTTGCAGTCTTACGCAAGTGGGTAATCCTTCGATATACATATGCATATATATAGGTACATATAAATTTTTAAATAAACTTAATTACTCTAGTTTCATAGCTAAAGTGAAGAAGGAGCACGAATTGGCGCTGGAGGATCCGGAATCATATCTGGGGAACCCCATCAATGCATTCAAACTCATCAAAAGAACCGTAATCGATTGGGCGGAACTAACAGAATATGCTTCAAATCATACACGACTGCAAGGTGAGTGAGCGGAAATGATATGTATGTATATTCGCCAGTTCGTTAAAAACCTTTCGCAGCCTTTCGAGCTTGAAAGACGATAATGGAATATCCGCATTGAGAGCGGTATTGATCGCGGGAAAGAAGTTTCCCTTCCTTGCATGCTCATCTTCCAGTTTCCTGATGTGTATGTATGGTTGTGCATTTATCACATTCATTTACTTTGTCGGCGACTTTTGTCGGCGTTGAGAGCAAAGCCCCTGAACCATGGTTAGCTTATTTCTTGTTGTAGATTTATGCAGGGACGAACACCAGGCACTGATTTTCAAATGTACATCGAGAGCGTTCATAGTCTTCCCAGTGCGTACCTCTACATTTCGGCGTTCTGTATAGAGAGAGTTAGCTTAACATTATTTTTCGAAGGAAGCAGAAGCTAAGCGATTTTTGTTTCCTTTGAAAGTATAACCATGGACGCTTTTGTCGGATTTGCATTTACGCCATTTTCTTTAGACCAAGTTTTCACAGCTTCCAAAGCGCTTTGTACCACAAGGCATAAAGACACCTGGTGCGCAATTCTTGAAAGGCTAGTGCCTTTCAATGACAGCCACAAGCTGATGAAGAGCTCTGTCAATCTGCATTTCCAATAACTACGCTAGCATTGCTTACATGCTATAGACTATCAACTCAGTGGTTAACGCTTCTGACTTTGAACATCGAATACGCAGGTTCGATCCCTGCTGAAGTCTAGAAAAAAGAAGTCTGATGAGGAGATGTGGTGATCTCCGAAATAGTGCTATAACTTCTACCGGTTGGACTTTGTGGCTTTATCAATGTTTCCTAATAAACATTCGTGGTACAAAGCTCAATAAAAATATTAAAAATAAAATGTTAACAAGCCACAATAACATTGACGAAAGTGTGTAAACTTTGTTAAAATTCGTGGAACTTGCTTGAGCACTTAACTGTAGTTAAGCTTTTGGTGGAAATGGGCTATTAACCTTTAAATGATGAGCTAACTATCGTTTGCACTTTCATTGCAGCATTAAAAAGGAACTTTACACAGTTGGAAACGGAACTGAAAATGCCGGATGTCATTGAATTGCGTGGTGCGGCGAAGGGACTAGCAAGACTACAGATCATGTATAATTTGAGCTCGGCTGATTTGGCCGATGGAATCATCAACGGCATAGATTATGGGTAAGCCATATTTTTGATTAGCGCAATGGTATTAGTATGAAATAGCGGTGGTATTAAAATCGTAATTCTATTGTTAAGATCTCAACTCTCAATTCGGGAATGTTTTGAAATCACAGCCAATCTTTTCGAAGCCAAGGAATATCCTTTAGCTATCAGCTGGGCTAAATTAGTATTGAAATTTCTGGAGGAAAGCACCGAAAAACCCCCTATAGAATATGAAACAACTGGAGATCACGATGACAGGGACCTTGAACGCCTCCAATTAAATAATGATACTGCAAACGGAGCGGCGAACAGTGAATATACATCTGGATATTGGGTTGATGATGAAGAAGACTGGGATGAAGATGAATGCGAAAGTGACGATGACGATGAAGATAAAGATGAGGAGGATTACGAATATGTTGATGAAGGCGATGGCCTCATATATGAAGCACGATATGGGGTGTTTGCTCCTGTGGTGCTATACGATCTACATGAAGACAACGAGCACAATAAAACCCTTAAAGGAATTTCAGAAAAGAGAACAGACATGGGCGATATTCCAAGCCAGAGCAGCTATAGAGAAGCTAACAACACACTAAATCAATCAAATGAAAATCCATCAAACATTCCAGCAGCACAAACGAGGATATTCGAGAACGACCTATCGAACAGAAAAATGTACATGGATACACTTGAATATTTGGCACTAGCTGAATTTGAATTGGGCAAACACGAAAACGCAACTGTATACGTTGATAAAATACTAGAACTAGAACCGGAACACATTTTTAAAGATCTGGAACTCTACATGAATGTTAAAAAAGTACGAAATCAGCCGTATTTCGATAGCATGGGTGCTTTGCAAGCACAAGCATGGTATGCAAACTATTCACGACTCTGTCAGGGTAGGCGAGTGCCGCAGAAGGAATTTCACAAGCTCGAATGCAAATTGGACACCCTCAATCATCCGTTATTCATGCTGGCGCCGTTGCAGAAAGAGGAGGTGCTATCAGATCCCGAGATCGCCATCTACTACGGGCTGCTTAGTGACACACATATAGACGAAATTCTCAAAAAGGCCGACGATGGTATGTTCCGTTCAGAAGTTGGCAATGCGAGCCAAGGTATAGTGAGCGATGTACGCGTAAGTCAACAGAACTGGCTTCAATATGAGGGTCCAACAATGAAATACATTTATCGCACTGTATCGGCCATTAGTGGCCTCGATTTAACCAGCGCCGAAGCTATGCAGGTGGCTAATTATGGCGTTGGCGGACAGTATGACCCGCATTTCGATTTCTTTGGACCAAAGGTAAGTTTACTTAGAAATGCAATTATGCGCTAATTAAATTTTCAACAGACTGATGCCCCCAACGCCTCATTGGTCGAAGATCGCATAGCCACAAATATGTTCTACGTGAGTCAAAACTTTTTACTTTAGTTTCAATGGTAACACAAAACGCAAACATTTTTCATTTCGCATTTATTTTAGCTCTCCGACGTAGACCAGGGCGGTTACACAGTATTTCCTCGCCTCAATGTATACTCAGAGCCTACAAAGGGAGCAATGATTATGTGGCACAATTTACATAAATCGCTGGACCCCGATTTGCGCACTCTCCACGCTGGTTGTCCCGTCATAAAAGGAGCCAAACGAAGTAAATCTTTGACTTAATAAAAAAAATAAAAAAATAAACACACTTTAATATCCGCATTGATCTATCTTACAGTAGGCAACGTGTGGGTATATTCCAATTATCAGGAATTTAGACGGCCCTGCGATGTGATACGTGACAACTATAAATCAGAAGAAGTTGTCTGACACCACATACATACTATTTATGTACATAAATAAGTACTATGTAAATATACATACATACCAATTTCTCATTGTAGTTTTTTATGTCTGGTTCACTTATGTTTCGATGTGAATAGGTAAATATAAGTTAATAAATGTTCCATTTTTGATATAAAGTAAATATGTATGTAACTTGGCTTTGTTCAAAGGGTTTACAATCACACATACATGTAAATATATAACGAATCTTTTGATGTAAATGTTAAATGTAAAACGTATGGAAAGGAAATACAAACATACTTATGCACAAACAAACGCAGTATTGCATGCAACTAGCAGCGGAACGCACAGTCTTTCGACCATATGGAAGCAGTTGGAAAGAAGTTATGGTGACAGCAGAGATGCTCAACAAACTATATTAATCGTTTTCGTTTTGTTGTTGCGCAAAAATAATTTATCATACTAATTCCGTTACGTTTCAGAACGCAAATTAACGCAACAAAACTCAATCGTTAATATCGAAACAAAATAAATCAACGAAAAGTTGTTGTTGTATGCATGGGCGTAGCCAGGTAGGGGCAGGGGGGTGCTCGAGCGTTTTACCAACCTAAAAGCACCAAATTTTTTTTTAATCAGGGGATGCTTTTTTCATAACATAATACCGAAGTACTGCACATTAAAACTGGTAGATATATCTCGAGAAAGAAAAATCGAATCGCATCAAACGAAAATGATGCCCTAAATAAAAATGAGCAAATAATTTGATGGTTTCATTATATAACCTCAAATATCGCGAAAACACCGTGTTTTTGGCACTTTGAGGTAGGTTAGGATATCTCAAAATTCTAGTGCAGATTTGGATTCAGCACCAAGAAACGATGTGTTTTACTCAGGTGGTAAAAAAAGAACAAAATCTGTACAAATAATTAGAAAAGAGAAAAACAAATATTTAACATATTTGCGTACTAGCATTTTCAACGCGAATAGAATTTAACAAGGTGGGTTTGCAACTTCGGATTTTTATCAATCATGGTTGTATTTCAGTCCATTTAAATTTGTAGATTCTTGTGAATTCTGTGCTGCCACAGCCTTAAATATTCCAAATTATTTCAGGTTTTAACTATCTCGAAATAATTTTAGTTCAGAAAAAAAGCACTAAAAAGGCACTAGGCACTAAATAATTCTTATTGGCGTTTTAATTTTCAAAAAGCACTAAATCTAGTGCTTAAAGCACCAAGTTGGCAACTATGTTAACGATTGAATTTCTTTTCGTTAAAAAACAAAATAGGGTTATTTTGGTAATTACCTAAACGATAAATAACTGAATCGTTTCAACAGAAACGATTGCTTTTTTGGTAAACGCTAAAATTAACGTTACAATGCATCCTTGGGTTACAGTTGTTAAAAAAAAAACTTTTTGGAACAGAGAGAGAAAGTTTATATTGTTGCCACCATTGTAAATTACAAATCCCGAGAATCCCGGGATTCTTGGCAAATAGTCCCACGATTTCGGCGCTTAAAAAAACTGGGATCCCGGGATTAACATGCTTACTTAGTACATACGTAGCGAGAAATGAAAAACTACGCCTGTATTTAAGCGAATTTCCCACTGCAAAAAACCCCTAAATTTTCTGATAAATCTATAGCGATTTGTTTTTTTTTTTACTAAACAAACACTTAAATTATCATCTTCATTATCATCCGGCACTTCAAGATCTGTGTCACAAACCTTTTGATATGGTAAAAAGTACAGGTACATTAACACGTGTATAAAACAATATAATTTTTAGTTATATTTGAGTGAAATAAAATTATGTTAAAAAGTGTTGTTTTACAATTTCTATTAAATACGTGTGTTTTACCTGTAGTATTTTCGCAGTACACATTCGGCAATGAAAGTGGAAATAAATAAAGGAAATCGGCGAAGCAGTTTCTTCAATGTTTCTCAAGGATATTCAACCGAATATTTATTGAAATGAACTTATCCCAAGTTTCACCAATCAATATTTAAATTTATCAGACTATTACAACTTAAAACGACAAAATTGTGTCATTTCAAATTTTAACAGGACATTAATATTATGGATCCTCAATATCTCTTTCATCAAAAAAAAAAGCTTATATTCCTTTGCATTGCAGTATCGTCTCTGGAGTCAGAGAGAGTTTTAAGTTGTATGGGTTTAATTATACTATTATTTAGCTTAACAAAACTAAGTATTTTAATAATTATTTAGTTTTTCTTATAAATTAAATATGGCCGATAGTGTTCCTCAATAGGTACTATCGGCAAATATCGATAGTCATTTTATAATTGAAGTCGAAAAAACAAACATATTTAAATAAGCAATAAGTTATGAACTACTTTTTTATTAGGAAATTGCTGTGAATAAACAACAAATTAATAAAAAAAAAAATAATAAACAAATAATTAAATCACTAATTAGAACACCTTTTAAATTCCCTTCCTACCCATTAACAATGACACAATTGAATAACACATTTTTAAAAAAGATTTTTATACGAGTATAACATATTTTCATACATAAATTCGAGGACAAGTAACATTACATAAATACTGTTTAATACGAATTGAGTAGTAGTATAATACGTTCTCAATGCAAGTCTTTATATTTGAGCGACACTTCATGATCAGGCACAATGTCGCACGGTCGCTGAAGGTCTTGATGACGCGCGCGTACCCAAATATTAGCAACTGAAAAATCATTTAAAAAAAATAACTTTTTCATCCAAATATTAGAAATATTCACTCACTCCATTTAGAACCCTTGAGCACCGGACAGGCAGCATGCCGCGTACGATAATCGGGCTCCTCGGAACGATGCAAATTATACCAGAAAAGCACACTTCCATGCTGCGGCTTCACAAGAAGACGAAGGTAGGGAAAAGCTGTGCCACCCCCTTCCTCTACGTCCGATAACTAAATGGAGTGAAAAAAATTTCGCATTTCAATTACTCAGAAATAATTTTGTATATTATTATTAATTTAGCGTTGTTTAAACTTACATAAAATATTCCGGTAGCAAGGCGATTTCCTACTGATGGCGAAAATGTGCTGTTATCCTAAAATTAAAGTTTTATTGTATTAATTAATTTAAAAAAATATAAAGAGCGGAGAATTGAAGATCAGAGCCCTTTTAGTACTTTAATTAGAATTGGGCGAAATTAGGAATATGAATAATTGAATTAAAAGAATACGAACAAATTTTCGTTCATTATTCAAGTAATTTCTAATAAAGAATAAATTTTTGTTCTGCATTTAAGTAATTTGGAATGCCGAATAAATATTCATTCATCATAAAATTTCAAATAGCAAATAAATTTATTATCATTCATCATTCAAGTAATTTCGGATGAATAATAAATTTGTATTCTTATTTGAAATTTAATTATGACGAATGAAAATGTATTCGTCATTCCAAATTATATATATGAATGAAGAATAAAAAACTTATTAACCTAACAAACTATATGGACTAGGGATGGCAACGATTAATCATTTGATTAAACTAGTCGATAATTTTTGCCCAATTTACGATTTAATTGTATCGTTGTTTTGTGTTTCAATAATCGATTATTATCGTAATAATCGTAAACTTATTTTCGAGAAATATGAATTCTGTATATGTCTATAATCTATCCATCGAACATTTTTTTTGCTAGCTGCATCAACTTTACTCCACTCGAGGTTCAAAAAATTTATTTCAAAGATCCGTTAACATTGTCCTGAGTAATGAAGTTATTGCGAACTTAAATAATGTGCGCAGATGACCTTATGAAAACGGGTAGCGAGTCGTCACTACACTGGGGAAATAATGCATAGTAAAAGAGAATTCTTTTTATTTGATTATCGTTTAAAAACGTTGGTACTTAAAAAAAATATTTTCAGAATAAAATTTAGTACGCACGTATTTGAATGTCCACATTTGAGAATGTACATATATGTAAGTGTACATACCTCTGCACAAAGTTCAAAACAAAACTGGTATTAGTCGCATGTTCCTTTGCGATTGCTCCCGGAGTCCCCCCGGATTGGTCGCATTTTTTGTAGGGTATGTATACCAAACATGCATGTCTGTAGCTGAGTGCGCACAGATGCTTGCCACAATTTGTTGATTTCCAGAGGGTCAGGGTTCGAATTCCACTGCGGGCAACATGGAAATTAAATTTTTTTTTTTTCATCTTAATTATGAAAAAGCATCCGTGAAGTGTAAAACGAACGCTTCATTTTAATATGGGCGGGTTTGAATTCAATATTTACCTCTATACAGTACTTCCATTGACGTTTATAGTAAGATCAAATTCATTTCTGTTTGATTTTACTATTTTTCCCTCAGTGTAGAATCAGTAGAAAATGAGTACTATCTTTGGGCCCCTCCTTCATCTCTTGTACACAAACGAAGGCGAAAAGATGATGATTTGGGTCCCCCACAAGATGAAATGTGTTTTTATTTAAATTCCTAAAACTTAAGCGAAATATCATCAACGCTTGGGAGGAAATGAAAACTTTACGGACTTTCGAAAAAACTGTCATTTCTGTAGTTGGTATCTCGATGCCTGATGATCGTCTTCATGCAAAAGCTGGTCTTACTGCCACTGAAAAATGCAACCGCTTAACAACAAAACGCTTATCAAAGCTTTTGTTTTTGCAAACTTGGTTGAATGATAAAGAATTATGGCGACTACAAACACTCGTTTTATTTTATTCAAGGCTATTAACTGGAGAATTAGAAATTTTTTATGGAAGAGTTTTTGTGAATACTTACTTTAAAAACGTGCCTTTAAAAATTCGATTAATCGATTATTTCTCAATAATTGCAATTAATTTTTTTAGCTTGTGATTGATCATATGATTAGTTAATCTATTATTTTATTTTTTTTTGCCATACCTAATATAGACACATTGGGGTCAACTAGTATTCCATGATCGGTGGATGCGACGCAATGAAAACATTTACCCAAGGTAGCCAACAAATGCTCAGCGCCTTTTTGGCGTACAATAGGCAGGATGAGTTTCAGGCTGAGCGTTTTGAAGCTGTCAAAAGTTTCAATAGTATATCCTATGCCATCTTTATTCCTACAGTTCGTGCAGCAAAGCATTCGTACCTAGACATTGTAGCTTTCCTATACGAACTAGCTTTTTATACAAATTTTCTTTGCGTG